GACCTTTTTTTTTTTTAAGTCTCCAGAATTAAGCACACTGTTTAATTTAGAGTACCTGATAAAATGGAAGAAAGTCCAGTTACTGTAAGTATTTGTGAGCATAGTAGACTTCAGTAAGTTTGCAAAGGAATGATAGAAGGTGTTGCATTAGACACCAGACAACAAAACAACACAGCAGCCCTTAGAGGGACTCTTCCTTGGGAGGCCTCCTTGGTCATTTCCCGCCAAGCAGAAGCCAACCCCACAAATATGTGTTCCTTCTCCTTCTTTCTCTTTTCTACCCCCTCCACTCCAGAACAAAACAACCAGTTTCTTTCTTTGTCTAAAGCAGTACAAAATGATATCTAGGTCTTCAAAATACTACACCCGCTAAATTCTTTTGAGGGTATTTTCCCCCTAAAGACAGTTCTTTTCCTCAGATAAATGCCGATGCCAGCAGTTGAGATGATAACATTTCTAACATGTTACCTAGTGAAAGGCCAGTTCTGCCTAGGTGACTTTGAGCTAAATGTCACACTTCTGACCCTCGGTTTGCACAGTCTATTTTCCAAAATCCCAATGCCAGAGGAGCTTTAGAATTCTGAGGGTTTTTTTTTTTTTTTAATTTTAGAAAACTCATACGGTGTACTCTCTCATCAAACATACAGCAATAATATAAAAAATACATAGCCTTAAATCATCTCTTGACAGGTTTTGCTGTCAAATGAGTTACAAAAATGAAACAGCAACTCCTGGTTTTCATAATTCTGTGGGGGTTTGGAATTATGAATGAGGGACTATGAACCTATACCTGCTTCATGGAGTTGTCATGAGGAATAAAGAAGACAATGCATGTAAAGCTCTTAGCTCAGACCGTGGCACTGGCAGCTGAATTAATAAGTGGTCACCGCAACTATTGCTGCCGTACTGTAGCTCATATGGAACTTCAGCCCTCTCTCTTCCCTCTTATTGGTAAAATATTTCTGTATTATATATCTATAGGAAATTTCTGAGCTGCTCTTACATTAACTTTTTAAAACACAGCAAGCCGTCGGTGTGGGAGACCACCTCCTTCGGGCCCAGAACAGCTGTGAACACCTCCGTCCAGGTTTCCTTGTTGATAGAGTCCTGAGTCTCCCTGTGCAGAAACTTTGTCCGTCTCCCAGCCTGGCACTGATTCTTCTCCGGCAATAATTAACTAAATGCTCAGACAGGAGAGAAGGAAGCATTTCAGTTGAGAAATGTAAATGTTTACTCGGAGAACGGAGAAAGTTTTTGTGATATATGGAAACAAGAAAAAATGAAAAGTCTATAGCTAAAGGTAGAGACATATATTTTGGGACAAAAGATCAATATATAACTAGCCACATCTCAAATAAGGAAATATCGGATGGGTATGAAGCAACTGCAGCAAGAGAAAGAGAATGTGTGAAGAAAATGAAAACAATTGGAGTAGATTCTGGTTTCTGATCCTACCACTCTTAAACTAACCTTTCACATTTTATTTACTAAATAACATTAACTAAATAAAAAGTAAATAAGTCATAAAAAGTGCTCATTGCAGGCTAAGAATTGTGCCAAATATAATGGAACATATTTAATGCTGCAAAAACACATAAATGGCTGTAATTCCCATTAACAGATGAGAAAACCAAGGTTATGTAGGTTTAGAATCTTGCTTGCCACACTGGAGGCTTGGAACTGGTGTTCAGAAACAGACCTGAGTCCACCACCATATTCTTAAACATGCTGCGAAACCATCCTCTACCCCCACATTCCCGACTTAGAACATTGGTGCAGATGAAACATTCGTGTGTGTCTCTGGAAAATAGGTTAAGCCTTAATCATGTGAGCAAGTTGTTCTTTTTTCTTTATTAGAGAAGGATTAAGAAGGAAGTCTCTAAAGAACAGTATGTTGAGTCTTAGGTTGGAATTTGCTCAGAGTCCCTTGGTCAAACACAGCATTGTCCACTCGGCACAGGACAGAGCCTGGGCCCAGTGACGAGTGTTCAAGTCCCATAAATCATCTGCTGAACTTTACGTAGGCACTTTTTAACAAACACCATTAACGCAGTGTTTACCAAAGGAAACACCTTTTTCTAAAGGGGTTTACAGGAAGGATCTAATGTTTAAAAACATTATCAAAACAGGTTTAATTTTAAACCTTTAAACTTTGATAGAAAATTTGATACAAAGAAATGAAGTATAAAAAGAAAAATTTGAAAAAAAAGAGAAAATTTTGTTGTTAGAAAAGCCTTCCTTTTTGGGCCTTCATGGACCTTCTAACTTCTATCTGATTGCTCCAGCCCAGGCTTCTGGCAGCACATGGGACAGGCCCACCCTCTTTTCCTTTGAGTGACCCGTTGTCCTGCAGTTGAAGACAGTGACCCATTCTCCAGCCTCCTCACCAGGCTGGGTCTTCTCTTCTACAGTGTAAACAGAATAATAAGAAAAATGAGTTCAATTGAGGATTTTGGCTTTAGAGGAATAGGGACCCACTCAAGGGAAAAGGTAATGGATAATATTAGGAGGGACTCCTAATACATTCCTAATACATTGATGCTAGAAAGCCATCAGCAGCTGAGATGGCTTTAGAGGTCAGCTCTCTTTTCTGCTCTCTTGTGGATCACAAAGTTGCCATCTTTAAATGTAACTTTGCTTTCTCTTGGCTGTCCCCTTTTGCTCTAGACAGCAACCTTTCTATATCTTTTCTTTTATTGAAGTTTCTGCCTCCATATAATTTCATCTTGCCATGACCCCTCTTGGCTCAAAGCAGCCTTAAGTTTTCAGCTTTTACCACCCACTGCTTCATTTACTGGTATTAAAACTTTCATGCGCCTTAAATACAAACCCTGACCTTGCTCTGCATCCCCCCTCCCTCCTTCCCTCCCTCCCTCCCTCCCTGCCTCCCTTCCTCCTTCCGTCTCTGTCTTTTAACCAGGTCTTTCCATACTTCTCAAGCAGCCTGTAGCAGTGTGCCCGAGAGTCGGTGCCTGGCCACTGGAGAGATGCATTAGAGCCATGGAATTGGCTCTTCTGGTGAACTCCCCGCCGTCCAGTAAATGGGCTGTGAGAGAAACAGCGGGGACAGCTTCCTTTCACCTGCGCAGCAGGCGTCCTGACCAGGGCTCAGCCTGCCCAGCAGCGTCACATGCCCTTCGAGTCCCTTAAAGCCTTTTACGTACAAACTGCCTTCAAATACACGTGACTTGACTGACTTATCAGCAACACTGTGAAGCAGACACTTTTTTCCAATTTTAAACAATAAAAAGTGACTAGCCCCAGCTGGTGTGGCTCAGTTGGTTGGGCATCATCTCGCAAACCAAAGTGTTGGTTCAGTTCCCGGTAGGACACCTGTCTGGGTTGTGGGTTTGGTCCCCAGTTGGGGCACTTAGGGAAGGCAGCCAATTGATGTTTCTCTCTCACACTGATGTTTCTCTCCCTCTCTTTCTCCCTCCCTTACTCCCTCTGTAAAATAAAAAATAAAATTAAAATTAAAAAATGAAAAGCAACTAAAATGAAGTGTCTGGCCCCAAGCCACCCAGTTAATAAGAGTGGTCTAGACCTGTGGTGTGTTTGATCTTAAGACAAGTGTTCTTTCGTCTATCTCAGTGGCTCTCAAAACTTAACATACATCAGAGTCAGTTGGAGGACTTACTAAACCACATGTTACTGGGCTGCAGCTCCGGAGTTTCTGATTCAGTAGGTTTAAGAAAACCTGGTCTGTCATCTTCACAAGCGTCATGGTCGTGAGAGTCAAGGAGAGCCTGAAGAACTCATCCAGACTAAAGAAGACTAGGAAGACCTGACAACTCAGTGTAACACAAGATTCTGAACTGGGTTCTTTAGCTAGAAAGGACATTAGTGAGACAATTGGTGAAATTGGACTTAGGTCTGAGTGTGAGATGGTAGTTATGTTAGATCCCCGATTATAGTTACGTAGGACAATGTCTTTGCTTGTAGTGTGCACTGGTATTGGTGAGTGATGGAGCAAGTGACTCTCAAATGGTTCCTAAAAAATTTAGTGTTATATACTCAGATTTCTTCTGTGAGGCCAAAATTGGCTCAGATTAAAAACGTAATGCCAAAAACAAAAACCAACAAACCCCTCCATTATTTGTTTAGTGGATACAGTATTATCCATTCCCTCCCTATTCTATGTAGCAAGCCAAGGAAATGAAATTCATTAAAAAGAAATTTATAAGTAAAATCACTCCAAATTAAATAACTGAGAAGTAGTGTTCATGAACTTGTTGGTAATGGTGGTTTGCTCTCTTTGAGGTTATGTTTAGAAAGTTGGAAAACTAAAAGTAGAAGTGGAGAGGGTGGAATAACAAATATATCATGAAACATATGTCGAGTGCCCATTTGGAGGCACTAATTTTTCTAAGCATTTTGTGTATGTTAACTCATTACTCCTCATAACTGGCCAATAAGGGAGATACTTTTGTTAGCCTCATTTTGGAAGGGGATGAAACAGGCCCAGAGAGACAAATTAATTTCCCCCGTGGAGGAACTAGGATGCGAATCCAGACAGGCTGGCTCCAGGACCAGCACTCTTAGTCACTAAAGGAAGAATAAGGGCATTCAGGGAACAAAAGAGCAGCCCCAACACTGGGAAGCTTTGGAGAAGCTGGAGACATTGTTGAGCAAACACTATCCACTATGCACATTTGTATGGGACTTGCCAGGCACTCACATGCATTATGAAAGGGCCTCCCCACCCTGTACTTGTGGTCACAAGAGTCGTAGTGTAAACATTTGGAAAGAGAGAAATGATTTATAGCTGAGGCACTGATTGAAGACCTATAACTTGGCCAAGTACACCACGAACTCTTGATGCTTTTCTTGGCGTTACTCCCACACAGAGAACGTGCACTGTGGCTTCCTACTGGCTGTGTGTCAAGCTCACACGTACGGGGCAAGGCAAAGCCAAGGTCTGACTGACAGAACTGCTAACGATCCAAGGAACCACTTTTAGATTTAGGCAGTTTATCACTTACACAGACAGCAAAGAGAAGCATAAGTCAGAGGTGCCAGCTCCCTGTCATCTTTGACTCACACATCAAAAAGGAGGATGCCCAAACCGGAGGGACTGGAAGACTGCACGCAAGTTGTCCGGTACCCTGTGGTTGAGGAGCCAATCCCAGGCTGCAGCTAAGAGGTTTTGGTTTTATAGTCTGCTGCCGCGTTCTGGGCGGGTGGGCAGGGCAGAAAGCCCCACACCTCACAGACCCCGGGAGGCAGTAAGGAACGTCTTTGACAGCCTCCTGGGGTAGAAGAGAAGGAGAAGAGAAGGAGAGCAGAAGGCGGCTTATAGCAGCTCCTACGGGGCTCCCTTCTACTCGTGTTCCAGGAGTGTCGCGATGCGTTCCCCTAAGTCTTGGATAAGCTACAGTCCCCCCCTTTGCCTGTGTGGGTCCCTGCCAGGTTGCCAGGGGTACACGGTGAAATCATTCCTCTGCAAAGGGTCGTTGAAAGCAGGACTTAGGATCATGGCGGGGAGAACGCTTGCTGCGCACTGAAGAGCTGTCCTCTGTGAGGCTTGGCATCTTGCTGGGGGTGAGGTGTAGCACACGCTGTCCTGGTTCCCTAAAAGGTGGTGACCTTAGCTGTGGATGTGGGGGTGGGCCGTGGATTGGCAGTAGGGGTCACCTGGGCCCAAAGTCCAGGAGCCTGAAAGGCCTTTCTGCCTCCCTTTACACTAATTTGCTTTATAAACTTTTATGACCAGGTTTCCTCCTGTGCAAAAACTCCTATCTGTCACTACTGATTAAAGTCTTGCCAGATCAACCTCAGACAAAGTTTAGTTTTTATAGTCATTCCTTCCCATCGAATTCGCCTGACACAACTCATTGATTGTCTGACTATAAACTGAATACCCGTTTGATATCTACTGCGATCAGACGCTGTGAATGAATAGAACTGGGCACAGAAAGATGAAAGACACTGTCCACGCGTCTTTTTCTTCAGCCCATGTCATTGTCTCAGATTGTTTTCTAAAAAAGAACATGGCAGGTTCTAGTTTTATTTCTTACCTTCTCTGCTTGTCCACATTTTTAAATTCAAGAACCACATGAATTTGTGGAGTCTCCGTTGAAAAATCAAGCCTGGGCGGATCTTTTACTTCCCTCTAATGTTCCTTTGATTTTGCTTTGATTGGGTCTTAGTTATTCTCTGGGTTGAGTCCTCCTGCATTCCCAATCCCTTTGGATTTCTCTGCTGTGCCAGAAAAGGGGCTAAAAGTTAGCCTCAGATGACAATGGACTACTTTGCTTGCACTGTAAATAGGAAGTGATCAGTATAGAAAGGAGCCAGGAACAGATATTTTTGCTTTTACCCACACTTTAGGAGGTTGATATACTGAGCTTTGACATTTGATTATGTGTTATATGTTCATAAAGACAAAATTTAAGACTACTTTCTGCCTTTTATATAGGCTTACATTTAGGTCATTTTTGGCCATTCAGTTTGCAGTAAGTTAAGAGACCAGGCTCTAGTTGGACGTTTCCAATGACTGTCTCCTTTCAGCTTGAAGGTACAGTGTTCGATGAAATCTCAGGCTGATTCTCTCCTCTGACATTCAAGAGACCTCTTTATCATTGCCATTCCTCTTAGAGAGGGGAAAAAAGGACTTAGTAACTTGCCTCTAACAGTTTTCTTTACTATAATTACAATGAGGCAAGATTTGTGCCTCATTTGGTGTTGCTGCAGTCCCAGAATCACCACAGAATCAGATGCACCAGACGTGCTCCCTAAAGAGTTGGTGGATGGCTAATTGAATTTCTGCTCCCGATTATAAATTTAATCTCCACAAGAAACCCATTCAGAAAGCACATCCAAAATTAACTTAGAAACACTGACATTAATTTCTTTCTCCTTTCATTTCTCTTCATAAATTATTTTACAAATGCTTACTGGAAACACATATTCATTAAGGGTTTAAAGGTAAAGAAATACAAATCAGAAAAAGAAAGGACTCAAATTCAGCCCCATTATTTATTGTCTAAGTGACCGTGGCAATTAATTCATTGCTTCCAGCTTCAGATTATCATTTATAAAATGGGATAAAAGCTCTTATCATGAGTGGTTTTGTGAGAAGGAGATGAACACCATAAGCAAAATGTAGTGCCTGGCACTAATTAGTGGTTCCTAATAATATTAGCAAGTGTGTATATTTCAGACATGAATAAGGCCAACCCCCTCCAGATGTTTACAAGTTAGTCCTGGGAAAGAAGACACTGGTTCAAGTAATTATGCTGCAGAGAGAAAAAGTCCCAATATAAGAAAAGGCTAGATGGCTCTTTTAAAAATGTAAGTTTTATTATTATTCACACTAACAGATCTGGAGATGACTGCCATCAAAAAGTTTGTCAAAATCACGGATCCCAAGAAAAGGGGGCATGCCACACAGGAAGCACCAGGTTTGTCAGGAGGTGTGGTAGGAAGTGGGCAAAGCCTTTTTTGTGTGTTTCCCATGGGAAGGGGTGGGGGAGCCAGGGTAAGCAGGTCGAGGATAGGCTACTTTGAATAATTTTGGTGGCTCAGGGTGTAGGGACTGTCCCTGGTTGTCTGGCACCTGGCCCTGGGGTGATCAGTGTTAGAGCTCCATAAAGGAGGGGGTTGCCGTGTGGGCTTTGGATCTGGTGGGTTTGCACAGGGAAGGTGCACTCCCAGGTGCATTGTTTGTTGTCTTCAGGAATTAGCTAGCCCTGCAGGGCAGCGAGCATCCCCAGGGTCCGCAACGCCTCAGGGTGTGAAAGCGTTGAAAAATACAGAATAAAAAGATGCAATGACTACAATGGCTCGGATCCTAGGAAGCCTGGAAGTAGCCATGGGCAAGCCTTTTCTTACTTCTGACGAGACTCCCCACCCACCTGCTCTCTAGTGTAGCACCCTGTCTGCCCCTTCCTAGCCCCTTACCACTAGTTCTTTTCCTTGTTTGTTTACCTGTTTATTGTCCATTTATCCCATTACACTGTCAGCTCCATGAAGGCATGACATTTGCTTGTTTGGTTTACTCCTCCAGTCCTCGTCCCTGACACAGTGCCTGGCACACAGTAGATGCTCAATGAATACTTGTTGAACATATTAGTATTCTCATACTGCACACAGTAGGGCCTGATGACTGTGTGTGTGTGTGTGTTGTGTGGAGCAAGTTCCAGCCGTTAGTGTGTACACCATTCATGTCTACTGTAAGGTTTCGGTCAAGACCATATGCCTGGCAGACTACTTGATAGGCCCATCAGAAATGTATTAGCAAAGGGGTCTGAGGAGCTTCCTAGGAGAGAACTCACCTCTGGGACCAGCAGACACGCTTGAGATAGTAGCAAGCACTTCCGAGGCTGGAAGGGAGAAGTATGTCTTTATGGGTGATGCTGTATTTCTCTTGGATGGGTCTTGTCTGTGCACCTCACAGATTCATAACTTGGTGCTTCTCAGAGTTTCAGAAGGAAAGACCTGCCTTTACCAAAAGGGCTACAGTGTTTAGGGTGCTGTATTAATCAGAATCCATCCAGGACATCCAAACCAGACCAGGTGATCAAATAGGAAGAGTTTGATCACCTCCTCCTTGGAGGAGGATTTACAATGTGTTAGAAATGCAGTTGGTGGCGGCAGTGGTGGAGGTGAGTCAACCCTGAGGTTACAAAATGCTGGAAGCTGCTACTGCTCCTTGGCCAGGAGGGACAGAGGGAGAAGCTGGGCCCGGAGCTGGAGCCACCCAGCAGAAGCCGGGACAGTGGCGCCTCTGCCTGGCACGGGTGGGACCACAGGCAGAGGGCGTTTTTGGAAGCGGCTGAAGCCATGGAGAAGATGCAGCCACTGCTCAAGACGTCCCCTGAAGCAGAAGGAGGGAGAAATGGCCTGGCCCTTTCCCTTTCTCTCACCTCCGATCTCTACCTGTTCCTTCCATTATCCAATCCTAACCAGATGCAGTTGGCCAGGAAGTCCGGAAGCCACAGCATGACAAGATCCGCTTCCTCTCTAGGTCAGAGCAGAAGAGGGGACATGTAGAGAGAGCATTTGAAAGGAAATGTGCAAATGTCAAGCACGGAGGAGGACAGCACTAGTTAGTGTCCCATGAAAAGATTATGACATAAAAATGAAAGATGGCATAGACTCAATTTACCACACGATCTTGCTCTTTGAGCGTTTTGGCACATCGGCATCCCTGGCGAGGCGGTAATACCCAGGACAAACAGAAGCAGTCTCTTGCAGAGAAAGCAGTAGAAGCGGCAGGATGGAGGATGAGTGGCAGTAATACCTGATCTCCTTCATGCAGTTTACAAAGTAGCAGAAAAATAAAGAAATGGCCATGACAACTCAGTTACTTATAGGAATTTATAAGAAGTGACACTTAGTGTTAATCTTGGTTTGGGTCAGTTACATCCTTTGTCCACAGTTTCATTAAATCCTCATAACCATACCATAACCTCCAGCTGGGCCCCAGCTGCTAGCCTTGCGCCCTCCAGGGACTGTGCCTTGACTTATCTTCCTCAGAGTGTGGAGTCCCTCTCTGGTGGTGGTGACAGCAGTGCCATTTCGCCAGGGAGCCTCGATCCCTGCTCCTCTCCTTCAAGGTTCTTTTTCCTCTCTTCTTTGCATGTGAGGCACCAGATTCCCCAGAGAACCCCAGGACTTGGGCTTGCATAGAGGGTCAGCCTGGGACGCCCTGGCCTTTCACGTAGATTGTTTCCATGGCCAGCCCAGCATTTCTTTTACACAATTACAACTGGTTGAACTTCCTGGTAGTTTTAAGTGAATATCTTGGTGACTCAGCTCGTTTCTCTAAATAGGTCTTGCAACAGAATATTTTCTCAGGGTCACACCTTTGGGACTGTCCTGCTCGTAAGGTCCCCATTGCAGATGAGGAGACCAATGCTATAGATAAAAATGTCCAATCTGAGATTATACAAAGCGTAAATATTGAATCCCAGGTCTTTAAAAAAGGCATTTTGATTTTAGATCCCGAGCCGCCTCTTCTGCATGAGGGCACACAGAAGGCACACCCCGAGACACTAGACAAGATAAAGATCTTGTCATAGGGGACGTATGAGCGGGGCTGGGATGGGCGGACGGAATCCTGGAGCAGGATGGGCCAAGGTGCCGTTAAGCTGAGTCTGTGCTATGCCAGGGCTGGTGGCACCTCCAGATTGCTTCCACAACTGGATAGCTAGCTCAGCGGGTCGTGGGGTTCTCCCCACCTGAAAGAAATAGGAAGCTGGAAGAATTCAACAGAACTTCCACTCCTTTGAATCCCAGTGTGAAACCTTCTCTTCTTTTTCAATCTTCTTCAAGCCTCAAAGAACAGGGAAGGACTCTTGGAGCTCTTTGTCTCCCCCTGGCGTCGCCGTGGTCCCGGCGCAAAGGCTCGTACAAGAGGTCCTTGAGAATGCGTGAAGCCAGGGCTTTGTTTCTTGTGGGAACTTGAGGGAAAGCGGAAAATCCTCCCATTTGTTTAATGAGGAAACGTGACCTTCATGCTCTTCTTTGCTGTGGCGAGTCAAGTGGTAGGAACTGAAATTCAGGTCCGTGGTGGGTGTATAAGTAGGTGCGGGTGCAAAGGCAGCTGCTACACTTGATGCAGCAAGTAGACCCCCCGGGCTCGGTGGGTTCACCTTTTAAACGCCAGGCAGACGTCACAGATAACCTGTCATGAAGCTGGTCACTGTGCTGCTGCTGGTGACCATTGGCATATGCAGTTACTCTGGTAAGTAGCCTGGAGCGCATATTTTTCTGCTTTTCTAGTAATAGAAACACAACTAGTAAGCCTTGGCCCCCAGTGGACTGTGGTAGAGGGAGTTTTAGAACCACAGAACGGTAGGGTTGGGAGGGACTTCAGCTTTACCTCGCTGACCCCCCCATCCAAGCCCTAATCCAACACCCCTGGTTCATCCTACATGAGAGGTTAGCCAACTCCTACTGAGGGTCAACCAATGTTAGTTGTTGACCATGGTTCACCATAGTTTTCCTTATCTTCCTTAATCTTTTAGTCAAAACCTGACTTTGTAACTTCTTTCTTTTATGCTTTTGAAATGATATGGCGTCATTCTTGCTATCATCTCAAATCAATCAGGGTGCCAGGTTGGTTCTCCTGAGACATAGTTACATTTATTTGTTCACACACGCAATTGATATTTCTCGAATGGCTACAACCTGCTATGTGCTGGATAAGCACTGGAAGAGTCAGACATGAATCAGACATAAATAGTGTTCTTAGGGTGCCTGTAGCATGGTAGGGGAGCTAAGACTTCTGCAGAAGCCAGTACAATGGTGCTCATCTAGAGCTCTGTGCAAGAACTGAGGGGCGACCTGTTCAATTTCTAGGTGGGGTATAGGAGTTGGCCTCTTCGAAGACAATGGAGATTGACCCATTCTTTTTGGAGAGAATCAATTAACCACCAGAAGGATATTTGGGTGCATCTGGATCACTCTCATTCAGGGCACAGGAAGCTTTGCAGACTTTCCCTTAGAAATTATGAGTACATGCAGAGAAGGCACCCACCAAAGTGTTTATGTAAGGAGATGAATTACAAGAAACTAGGTCCTGCCCACGCCCACATCGGCAACTTTGCCTTGTGTTTATATGGAATTTTGACAAATTTGTAACTTCATCAGTTTCAGCTATTGTGGTGTTCTTTTGTGTCCAGGGACAAATATCTGTTGGCAGAGGTGGCTACTGAAAGAGGAGCTGCGGGGGGGAGTAAGTATAGCCCCTCTGGAAGAGAACTTTGGAGGGAAAATTGGTGGTAGAAGATCAAGATGAGACAGGCGAACAGGCTCAATTTTTATGATCAGAATGAGGAAATAAAAAGATTCCAAAGGAAAATGAACTGATAGCATCTTAGCCAGCAGGAGGATATGTGTTCTTATGCATATGATCATGCACATGTATGTTTACATATTTGCACACATTTTATAAAAAAAGTCATTCAAATTTTTCCCTTCTTTCTCATTTTACACTGATTCATTTTCTAGGTGAAAGTTACCTTTCTAAAACTTAGGATATAAAGTGCAGTTGTATCACATAAAAGCCTTGATAGCTCCCCATTGCCCTCAGGGAAAAAAAAAACAAACACCTCAAACTCATTAATTTGCCATTCAAGGCTTTGAAAAATCTGACCCGACCCGTATTTCGCAGCCCCACCTGCCTTCTCCCTCCTCAGCGCGCCCCAGTGGAATTCTGAGCTCCAACCATTCAGGACGGAAGACTCACCATACTACATATGCACTTTTATTTTCCTATCTCAGTACCTTCATTAACTTTGTTCTCCATAAAATGCCATTCCGTTCTTTACCTTGTCATCCTGGCATTTGCCTCAAGACATAACTCTAGCTTCTGGGAAGGCCCCTGCACCACTCTCCCACATTAGAATTAGTCGTCCCTCCTCCTGGGTTCCCATGGAGCTTTGTCCGTAGTGTTAGCACGGCCTGTGCTGCACTGTGGCGTACACAGGTCTTTGTTGTCCACCAGACCGCGAGTTCTCTGAATTCAGTACTCTTGTCTGACTCTTCCATGTAGCTACCCCAACTGGTACAGAATCATGATGCAATTATTTTTGTAGCATTGAGTTAAATTGGTTAGGAACAGTTCCTGGGCTGTGCATGGGTCCATTTCCTGTCCCCAGGTGGAGATTCCTTATAGCGTCTCTGCTTTGGTTTCCAACTTGTGGGCTGTGGAGGCAGCCCCATGTGAAGTATATCCCTGTGCGGTCAGTTGTAGTGCCTCCTGAGTGCTTACTTCGTGCCAAGGTGCAGCAGGGTGTGCTAGGCATGGGGTGCAGTTGTGAATGAAACATAAGCTCCTTGTTCTCGTGGAGCCTACATTCTAGTGAGAGGATGAAGGCAAAAAACCACTTACTATTCTAGGTAATGGTAAGAAAAAGATAGAGGCTGACAGGAGCGCCATTTTAGATACCTCTCTGAGAATGTAACATTGGAGGAGAAACCATGTGATGTGCAGAAGAAAAACATGTAGCTATCTGGGGAAAGAAAGTTCTAGAGAGATGGGACAGCAGGTGCCAAGGCCCAAGAAGACTGTAGCTGGAATGGAGCCATTGATGGACAGAGTGGAAGGTGGTGAGGTCACCGACAGGAGCGGATGTTCCTGTTTCACTTGGTTTCCCCTTTTGCTCTGCAGCTACTGCCTTCCTGGTCAACAAGGTGCCACTTCCTGTCAAGGATGCCTTACCTTTACCTCTGGACAACGTTCTCACCCTGGATCCATTAAAACTGCTTCTGAAAACTCTGGGCATTTCTGTTGAGCACCTTGTGGAAGGGCTAAGGAAGTGTGTGAATGAGCTGGGCCCAGAGGCCGCAGAGGCCGTGAAGAAACTGCTGGTAACTACAGCCTGCGGGGTAGTTGGTCCAAGGGCAGGCGCGGCCACCCTGAATGCCTGCGCTGCCCTTTCCTCTCCCACCTCCCCCCATTCTCCCTGGCGAATGTGTATTTTCCCCTGACTAATGGCTCATGTACGGTCTGCGTGTCCAGACCCTTCAGGAAAGTGCAATATTTACATTTCTGGTAGGAATATTTGAATGACAGAGACCTGTGTTCTAGTTGCGACTTCGCCATTTCCCAGCTCTGGGATTCTGCACTGGACTTAACTGCTTGGAGCCTCTGTTTTCCTGTCAGTAGAATGGTGGCTTCCTAGGAGAGCAACTGTTTTTGGAAATGTGCTAATTACATGTAAGCTGCTCTCATTTGTATTCCTGTCCTTCTGCCTTTCAGGAGGCCCTATCATATTTGGTGTGACGGCAGGATAGAGCGAGAGTGGAAGGAGGATCTTGGTCTCCTCTTCCCTGGCTGGAACTCGGTCCATCCTAAAATGTAGTGACTCCTGGACAGAATGAATAAAGCAATGAATAGATTTCAGTTTGTCCTATTGTTATTTCTGGGGGCTCTATTCAGAAGGGCCGTAACTAGATCATTTTTTCTCTTGGGTCATAAACTCTAGAGAGCCCATCGTTATAAAGCTAACTCACATTTTCCGTAAGACATAATGATTCCTTCCCTCCAAGTTAAACATCTCCATCTTATGCAACTGATCTTTCTCTGACAGTGTTTCCAGATCCCCTGTGCTTCTAAAAAAAATGTAAAACATGAAATGGAGAAGAATTTTCAAAGCCTTATATGGCAACACGGGGTCCTCACAAACCTCATTGGTTTGGAGTCGACACCATCAGAATGCGAGTTTCTGTTAACGTAGTTACGGTTGGACCTCTCACTGACCCTCACACCAAGTTAGGCCTTTACTGCAGCCGCCTCTGGCAAGCGATTTCTGACCTCGCCTCCTCTCCCCTCTGTGCTGCCATCTACAACGATGCCTTCATTTTCTTTCCAAGACGTAATTTTGGTTCTATACAATCACCTATAAAACATCTTTCGAGCTCCTTAGCGTGGCATGCCAGGCCCTCATCGACTGGCCTTTGCTTCCGTGTCTAATCTTGTCAGTGTCCCTTTCTTCACATGGGCTCTAGCCCCAGCCATGCTGAAAAGATAGCTAAATCTCTTTGCTGGTGACACTTTTATGCCTTAATGAAAATCAAGTCGTTTCCCACCCAGAATGTCTGCCATAGTCTGCCTTCAGACCTGACCTAGTGCCGGTCTCGGGACTGTTTGCCCTCCGATCCGTTCCCCATTATTCCCCTGTTCTGCTCTGTGTTGAGGGAACACAGGGGCATGAAGCTGACCCCTGAAAGGTGACTTTCTCAGGTTCCAATGTCAGCTGACTCTTGGCCTCTGTTCTGCCCCTGGGAGTCGCAGGCAGGAGACAGGTGATAGGAAAGGGGAAAGCCAGAGTGTGACCACCTTTCCCCCTCTATTTGGAAGAAGTCTCTGTACTGTGTCAAGCTGCCAGGTCCTGCTGGACAGGTCTGCGTTGGTTCTGGCTTTTGCCAGCGACCTCCAGTCCCTGGCTCTGCTTACACCACCTCTTTTCTCTCTCTTTCCACTGGAGGTGGGTAGTGGCTTCCTCCTGTTACCAGTTGCTGCATTGCCTCACCATCCCCTGTCTTTCTTTTTAGGTCTTCTCTTATCTGTTGAATTAATTCTGTGCACACTAGTTCCCCTAGAGGCACCATTTTGTTTTGTGTAATTTCAGTTGCCCACAGTCAACCATGGTCCAAAGATATTAAATGAAAAATTCCAGAAATAAATAATTCAAAGGTTTAAATCGCACACCAGTCAGTCTTGCGCTGTCTCGCGCTGTCTCACTCTCTCCTGCTCCATCCGGCCCAGGATGTAAACCATCCCTTTGTCCAGTGTGGCCGCACTGTGTGTGTCACCCGCCCATTCGTCACTCAGGAGCCCCCTCAGGTGTCTCTCAGATGGACTGACATGTTATTGCAGTGCTTGTGTTCCGGAAATCCTTATTTTACTAAATAATGGCCCCCAAAATGTTCCTGTCACTTTTATTCAAGTATATTGTTATAATTGTTCTATTTTATTAGTTGTGATTGGGCCTAATTTCTAATTAAACTTCATCATAGGTTTGTATGTGCATGATAAAACAGAGCATATATAGGGTTTGGCGCTCTCTGTGGTTTCAGGCACCCCAGGCATCCACTGGGGGTCTTAGAACGCATCCCGTCCAGATAAGCGAGCAGCTATTACTATGTTACCTTCCTCTGTCCTAAGCGTTGCAGTACTTTCTGTTTCCTGGTTGCTTCCTGGCTAAGATAATGTTGACTGTCATCCCCTCTGTGAAGATTATATTGATTTCCTGCCATTTCTTGACCCCCCCCTTTTTTTTTTTTGCAACTAGAATTGTTGCACTTTATGAAACTTCTTTTCCTTCCACATTTGACCTGCATCTCTAAGAAGAGCTGAGGTCGCCCAGCTGTAGTAATAAATAAACCCAAATCTCAGTGGCTTCCATCCACGGCCTTTTAACTTGTTCCCGCTTTATGCGGCCATCTCCCCAAGCTGTCTGAATTCTGTCACCTGCACCTGAGGAAACAGTCTTTGTCTTGAGCCTATCTGATCATTGTGACATATGAGAAGGGAGAACTTAGTGAACCAGGGGCTAACTTTTAAAAATACATACATTCTTCTATTTTTGCTTCATTTTTCCCCTTTGGGTAAGCATATGCTACTTTAATGGTTTTCAAAGTGGAATTTTGAAGAAAATGTTATGTCAGTTAATACATATTAGACAGTAAATTCCCCTTCTCAACATAAAAGTAACTAAAGGAAACCCTATCATAGACTGAACAAGCAGTGAAGCAGAAAGCAGCAGCTTCAGGCTTGTACAGCCTTTTGTTCAAGTTCAGGCTTTAGCAGTAGCGACCTGCGTAACCACGGGCAAGCTCTTTAAACTTCGGGTTTTCAGTTGCATTCTTTCAAAATGGAATAATAATACCTAATTCTTGTACTTGATGTGGCGATTCAAAGAGGTAACATTGAGAAGGACCAAGCAGGGACCTGTCCCAATAATATCTGTTGCTGTATCATCTTAGGTAGCTTTTGAAGGACCGTCCTTGAATGACAAGCATTGTCACAGTCTGAGCGTTGATTTATTCTGTCCCCTCTGGTTGAATTGTCCTCACTCCTCCTTCTCCAGGTCTCCAAATTCTTTCTCTTCTTTCAAGATGGCACCTCAGATATTATTACTGCTGAGAAGTCTTCTCAGATCTCCCAAGGGAACATGAATGGCTCTTTGTCCTGCCTCGCACGCTACTTAGCACCTCTGTTCTACCAGAGCACACTGGGTGTGGGTAGTTGATCATGTGCTCATATTTCCTGCATTAGGATTGTGAGCTGCTCGAACACAGGAACCGTGGGATGTTCCATGTGCATCCTTACTTTCTTGTTTGTAGGTAGAAGTTCTGTGATTTTAATTTCTTTACTTAATACAGATTACAACAAGTATTTATTGAATAGCTGCTCTCTGCGAGACACTGTTCTAATTTCTTATGATTGTGCCAGGAACATTGCACAAAAGAGGCAAAATCTTGTCTCATGAAGCTTACATTCTATTGAGGGTAGGCAGAATAAAGAAAAAAAATAACATTTTTTAGAAAAGATTTTATTAATTTTAGAGAGAGGGGAAGAGAGGGAGAAATAGAGGAAGAGAAACATCAATGTGTAGTTGCTTCTTGTATGCCCCCACTGGGGACCTGGCCCACAACCCAGGCATGTGCCCTGACTGGGAATTGATCCGGCAACCCTTTGGTTCTCAGGCTGGTGCTCAATCTTTTTAAAAAACTTTTAACACTGTGTTAAAAGACGAGTGCTAGAAGGAAAAAAAAATGCATCTGCTAAAGAGGATGAGCAACAATGGCCGGAGGGTACCATTTTAAGTAGGACGCTCAACAGAGTTCTCACAGAGAAGGTCACCTCTGAGAAAGACTTGAAGAAATGAGGGGCAAAGCCACGTAGTGGTCTTGGGGAAGGTATTTTAGGCAGAAAGAAGAGTAAATTCAAGGCTCCGAAGGAAGAACATGCCTGGAGGATTTAAAGCAAGGCAAGGATTCCAAATGGCTGGAGTGGAGGGAGCAAGGGAATGAGTAACAGAAGCAGCAATGAGAAGCAGGTAACTCAGGTAGGGTCCTAGCCATCGCTGTAAGGAAATTTAGAAAAACAGCTTTTGCTGAGAATGAGATGGGATGTAACAGAATGAATTGCTATAATTTGAATTATATGTTCATAAAAGTACTCTTTCTGCTTAGCATCTTTGTAACATGCAAGATGAAAATCTCCTAAGGCCTGATGTCATCATGGGAGCTCTGGGGTTGGAGACAGCGCAGCGATGGTGTGGGTTGTGTCTCCAGGGGAGTGCTGTGTTGGAGGCTGGACGAACCTGGTTGGAGTCCCCACTCAGCCTGTACCAGCTTGCAGATCTTCATGATGTCAATGACCTCTCCTGAGCCTCAGTCTCCTCCCCTTTTACACAAAGGAAATAATGCCTGACCAGCTTATTTTATGGGGTTGCAGTGAGATAATAATGTCAGGGGATCATGAAAGAAAAACGCTGTGCAGATGTTAAGAGATTCTTGATCTTCAAAAACAGGTGCCCCTGTTGGCTACACAGAGGTCTTATGGGAGGGCTGGGAGAGAAGGTAACAACAGGTAGAAAGAGGAAACACATATTGCGAAGCAGTTGGGAAATCTTCAGGATCTCTCTGGATTGCTGGGAAATCTTCAAAGTCCCTCTAGGGTGCTGGGGATGGGGGGACAGTTCCTTCTTAGCGGTGCGTTAAATCCGGTACTGATTGGGCACCTGTTTTTATTGTTTTTATTTTTGTTTTACCAGCATAGAAGAGTGATTTCAAGTTGTACAACAAAGGGGTGGATGTAAAGACAGAGAAACTCTGATAGGACATGTTTCTCAAGCTCAGGCGATGCACTGATTACGGCGGTTATGGTACCTTTCCAAGTTATGGTTATGGTACCTTTCCAAGGCACAAGTTAGACCTCAGAATCAGAGAAGGGATTTTTGGGTCACATTTGTTGGGAATCAACAGTCTGCATGTCAGGGTGTAATACAGTAGAAATCTTAACTGATTATGGTTAAAAGGATGTAATATTTGAAATGAGCACAGTCTTGAAATAAAATAAAAAGGCAACATACAAGATGGGAGAAAATTTTTGTAAATAATATATCCGATGAGGGGCTAATATCCAAAATACGTAAGAAACTCATGCAGCTCAGTAGAAAAACAAAAGAACTTGATTAAAAAATGAGCAAAGGACCTGAATAGACAATTTTCCAAAGAAGATGTACAAATAGCCAACAGGTATATGAAAATGTGCTCAACATCACCACTTAAAAGGGAAATGCAAATCAAAACCACAATGAGATACCACCTCACACCTGTTAGAGTGACTGTTATCAGAAGACAAGCAATAACAAATGCTGGTGAGGATGTGGAGAAAAGCAAAGAACCCTTGTGCACTGTTGGCGAGAATGTAAATTGCTACAGACATTATGGAAAACAGTATGCCAGTTCCTCAAAAAATTAAAAATAGAGGTACCATATGATACAGCAATCCTACTTTTGGGTATCTATCCAAAGGAAATAAAGATCACTATCTTGAAGAGATATCCGTACCCCCATGTTCACTGCAACATTGTTTACCATAGCAAGACATGAAAACAACCTAAGTGTCCATTGATGGATGCATGGATACAGAAAACGTGATACACACACACACACGCAGGCAGACACATTTGTACATAATGGGATATTATTCAGCATTAAAAAAATCCTGTCATACGTGACAAGATGGATGAATTTTGAGGACATTGCTCTAAGTGAAATAAATCAGAAAAAGACAAGTACTGTATGATTGCACTTATATGTGGAATCTAAAAAAAAAAAAAAAAGAAAAGGAACTCATTGAAACAGAGAGTAGATTGTCATTTGGTTGCCTGGGGCAGAGAGTTGCGTGAGGGGGAAGTAGGTGAAGGTGGTCAAAGTGTACACACTTTCAGTTACAAGATCAATATAAGATATATTTTGGGGATGTAATGTACAGCGTGGTGACTATAGCTAACAATACTGTATTGCATACTTGAAGGTCGCTAAGAGAGTAGATCTTAAAAGTTCTCATTCTGCCACCCCCCCCAAAGGCATCTATGTGAATAATGGCTGTGTTAACCTTATACAGTAAAAATTTTGCAATATATACATATATCAAATCAACACTTTTATACCTTAAACTTCCACACTGTTTTATGTCAGTTACAACTCAATGAACCTGAGGGAAGAAAAGAAACTGGCACTGTCTCTGGAACATGCAGAGTGCGGGTTGTCTGAATTTGTTGTAGAAAGTTATATGCATTTTTCAGTAGTTAGTAGCTGTTGACTCTTGGTTTAGCCATTTATATTATTAAAGGATTTTTGTGTTGCAAGGCAACCTACCGTGACTACAGAAAAACGGGAAGATAGTCGAACGGCAAAAGATTTGTTGCACATGTACTGGAGTTGCTTTCAGAGTCAAAGTGCTTGGGAAGTAGAGCGCTGCCGTCCTCGTCATGCTCTGTGAGTTCAGTCCAGGCTTCCGGCGCGTAGTAAATAATTTGGGGAGACTCTCCCTGGCTCAGCGGGGTCAGGTTGTAGAATGGTATGATCCTCTATGACTCATTGGCGAGAGCCACAGCAATGGCCATGGGGAGCCTACCTCTCAGGGATGAAAGAGGTATTTGAACCAGTGACAGGGCCGCACTAGACTTTTCCCGGAATCTTCTGTCCCGGACACTCTGCTTTTCTATGAGAATAATAAAGCCTCTGTGGAACAGCAATACCCTTGTCATTATATTGAAAAGAAAAAAAAGTTTTTCATTCATTAGCCCAGGAGAATGGGCTTAAATAGTTTTGAAAAACTTTCCCAGAGAGGATGCATGAAACTTTATCTCTGAAACTTCACACATTTTTTAGGGTTAAGAGGGTGTTCTTTGGAGTCTGATTAAAATCCTCTTTTTATCATTTATTGATCCTGTGATTTTGAACTTGCTACTTTACCTGGGCTTTAGTTTCCTTATTTTGAACCATTCTTTGGTTATTCTTGCTAATAATTCCTATATACTTAATACTTTTGCAGCATTAAAAAGTTTAAACATGCTCAGGAAAAAATTAGTACCGCCAGTAAAAATCTTTTCAGTGAACTAGGATGTGTGACTTCTGAAGAGGACACATTTATTCTGACTTCTAGAATCAAAAGTGCACAGTCATGTTGCTCAAAATAGGCTGCGTTTGGTTGAAGCCAGGGCCTGAATCCTAAGAACTTGCTAGGAGGTGCTTTGAGGCCTGGATCCTGGAGGACTCATGAAGAACTGGAAAAGCAGGATTTGGCTGCCCTGGAATTGTTCTGGAGCCACGTAGGTGTGTCCTTACAAACATAAGCCAGACAGAGGGAAACAGTTACCAGCCAGAGAGGGTTTACGAAGCAAGAAAAATACAAAGACTCTTTCATCTTTTTTTTCATATTTTTATGCCTCTGCACTTTAGAATGTGAAATCAACTATAATACATATTTGAGGAAACAGGCAAGAACAACAAAAATGCAAGATATATAGGCCAAGAATCAGCAACAGGGAAGAAGGGCAGATGCACAAAGGTGCACATAAGAATGAAGTGAATCATCAGTTTCACTTTGAGTTTCCAGATAGGGAGGGAACAAAAAGAAATAGGCCAAGTTACATATATACTATAATCAGAAAGGAGGAGGCAGTCCTTAGGAAAGCCATTCTTTTCCCCTCAAAATTCTAAAATCCAAAATTCTTTCCCATAAGACTTCAGAAAGTACGTATTGAGTGATATCATGCCCAATGGCGGTTTTGTTCATCAGCTGCCTGTGAATTACCTGTTAAATGTCCTTTCCCCGAGGCATGACCAGGGCACATTACTGCACCTTCCTCATTCCTCTCCGCAGTCCCTGAGGTACGCTGTCCTGGGTGATAGCTCAGACCAGCGATTTTCAACCCTTTTCATCTCATGGCACACAGGAACTAATTACTCTAATTCTGTGGCACACCAAAAGATATATTTTTTAACCATCTGACAAAAAGAAATTTTTTTGATTCATTCACACCAATGGCTGCTGTTGACTGTTACCATTTTTTCTTTTTATTTGACCATCTATGGGAAAAGAGGTCAGTGCCCCTGACTAGTCAGGTGTTGCATGTTGAAAAATTCTTGTCGGCACACCAGTTGAAAATCTCTGGCCTAGGCTGTCAGCTTCTCAATGGCTGGGCAGTGTTACCTTGGTAGCACTGGCAAAATATGACACATCGTAGTCATGGATTAAGTAAGCATTCAAGGAATGTATAAGAAAGGGATGTAGGTGGTAGGAGAAAGATGAGATTATCTATCTGTCTCTCTATAGCTATGTATCTGTGTATCCTATCTATCTATTAATCTATCTTAATTTAAGAAATAATCTAGAACTTTGACCAAAAGTTTTATACTGGAGAAACAGGCATTTCTCTGAATCACTTGCTTTTAAAGTGATGATTTGCTTTTGATTAGATGAGGCAATTGCCATACAAATGACACTTTTGAAACTACTTATTAAATGTACAGTCACCAGGGTTTAAGGAGATACACCTAATCGAACCAGCCAAAATCTAATCTTTGCTTTAGAGCCTTCCTGCTCTGAGGCTAGATTTTTTCTCCTCCTTAGATTGAGCCATTTCTCTTTGTCCATTAGGCCCCATTGTTTCCTGAATCTACTCAAAGCTTTGTAGGTGCAGCTAAAAAAGAAAATAAGAAATTCTGGCCTTCAGCTCTGGAACAATTAAGTCCCTCACATTTTTAATATTAGTAAGGAGGAAGGAGAACCTCAAGGAGGACAAGAGACCTTCCCATGGTCACAATAACCAGTTCGTAGCCAAGTTAGAAGTTGAATTTGCTTCTTCTTTGTGACTTTTGCTCTTCCTAACTCCTTCATGTTGTCTCCCTGTTGGACTGCCTCAGACACGGAGCCCCTAGGAAGGCGCTCCGAGAATTCTGCTAATCCTCGGGGTGTGGATACCAAGGGAGGGAGGTATGTGCCAACAGTCTGAATGAAGGCCAAGGCTGAGGACGCCTGCAACAAGGGGTGAGCTGATCCCTGACGAGATGGGAATGGGAAGATGCAAACGTGAGTGTTTTGGGGAGCTTAGCCGGCTTGGGGGTGAGAGTCAGGAGTGTCAGGGTTGAGCATGTCCTGATTCCAATGCCCAGGCCTGATTTCCATCTTTCAGAGCTTATGGAAAAGGAGGGGCTAAGTCCTAGGATAACATGACAGTGGCTCACTGCGCTTGCACTAGTCACACCCAGGTTATGAAATAGAGCAGGAGAGAAGAGGAATGTTCCCAGGTCAGATAGGACGTGGAAGCTGGGAAAGGCCATGCCTCCTGGAGATGGAAATGAGATAACTAACCAAAGACATAGTGGTTATTTCTGTGGGCACCTTGAGGCATGTGTAAAGTCAAACAGCTTAATCACTGTTTTCGACTGCTTTCTCCTGCACTATTTCCCTTTGCTCTCCACTAAGCACTATGGGTTAGTGAGAAAGCACAGTTTGGAACCAGGCTGCTTGGGTTCAGATCCTCCCCTCCTGCCTTATAACTTGGCCCATACATGAATCTCCCTGAGCTTTGGTTTTCTTATTTATGGAATTTAAGGATAACAATACCTCTTTTAAATAGGGATGTTAGCATTGAATTAGGTAGCGCATAAACAGCACTTAGCTTCATGCCTAAAACAGAGGAAGTATGTCATTCGTGCTAGATACCGATACACTTTTCCAGCTCTCTATTTCTGTTTTTCTATTTCACTATCCATTCTCAGGAGAGAACTGGATAAGAAAACAGCAAATATTTTCGAGACCTTAAGCCATATTGTCTCTTCATAAATCTGACCGTGAAGGATTAGAGAGATTGCCAGTCCTTCCCCCTGGATTAGGTCCAGCAAATCTGACTCTTGTTGTGAGTGACAATGCCTGATGTCACGGGCCCTTGGGTGTTCGTGCATGTGACCCCATCGTCCCACAGGCTGGGAGTGCACGAAACAAGCTCCCAGCAGAGTCGTGACGGGAACCAGTTCTCCTCTTTCCTAGTGTTTGCTGGTTTCACGTCCAGTTGTGTCTCCTCCCTTAATCCTTATGGCATTATCATCTTTAAGATGATTAAAAATCCATTGAACATTAATCTTTAAAAACTCTAGCAAGGACAAAACAAAAACAAAGAAAGTACACTTTTTCTGCTTGGGTCTCCAACTTTATTAAATAAAATCAGACCCTTTTTTTTTTTTCTGTGTCCCATATATTATTATTAAGTTGTAAATTGTAAGTTAAAATCACCTGGGAGGTCACTTTGATGAATGTTCTGGTTTAGCATCAAATTCCACAAAAGCACTTGAAAAGAAAAAGATAAAGAGAAAAAATTAATTATAATACCGACTAAATAGAAATGTTAGAATGATCACTAGGGTGTCTTATAATGTTTGAGCCATACTTTTCTTTTCCAGATCTTCCTATGTCAGAAAGAAATAAGATCAAAGATTTCCATCATACTTCACAGTTGAGAAGTCATTTATGCATGATTATCTCTTTGAATATACAAACAAATCTATTACTTAGGTGTCTATTCAAATATATACTCTCTCTATACATATATTTTGATATATTTGTTCAGTAATACATCCCCAGCACTAGAACAGTGCCTGGCACATACTATAAATTAATAAATATTTGTTGAATGGAAAAATGAATGATGTTATCTCTTTTTACATATGAAAAAAAATCCTCTGAAGCTCAAAGAGATTAAACAACCTAAGTCATGTGGCTGAGGAACTGCAAAGCAAGATCTAAAACTTCGACCTGCAGAATCTTGAATTAATGCCAGAATCACTGCAGTTTACTGTTCAAGGATTGGGTACGAGGTAGCTGCTGAGAAGGTAAAAGATGGCTTAAAGGTGGTCTGTGAGGAGGTTATAGGCTAGTGGAGAAAATAGACTCATTGAGATACAAGCAACTTAAAATGGGCGGGGAGGGGAAGCTGTTATTAAGTTTTCTACAAAGCGTTATGAAATCCCAGAGAATGAGTTACCTGAGTTTTTAAATTGTGGAGGTCAGTGATGTTTCTAGAGAACTTGTCTTTGAATTGGAACTTAGAAAATGATTAGACTCGTCAGGTGAGGAATGTGGAGTTGGGGTTTGCGGGCCAGGCATTGCTGGCAGAGGGAGAAGCACGTGCAAAGATATTGGCAATTTGTACAAATGTGACCTGCCCTGAAACAGAAATAATTTGTTATCAGGGCATCAGGTGCTTGGATGCAGGAGCGAGAGATATGATAGAAGGAAATATAAGCCTCAGGGAAGAACTTTTAACATCAGGTGAATACGTTTGCTCTGATTTTGTAGGCAAAGGAAATTCATGACAGTGGTTTAAGCTTGGCAGTGGTAGAACCAAGTGTGTGTTTGTTATGTAACCCTGGGAGCAGGTAGAGGATGGACTGGAGTGAATATAGATAGAAACAGTGAAATGGATTAGTTACCAATCTAATTAAAGGATTGCAGGAAAGATGATGAAGGACTCGAATAGCCAACAAGTCAGTGGAATTAAGAAAAAAGAATGGTATGGGAAAAAAGTCAGTGGCTGAATATTCAGAAGTGGATAGAGCTGGTGATGAGCAGGAAGGGTCCCAGAAGACCCCGAGGCTTCTGGGTTTTATGTGAGCAGGGATGTGACTTACTGAGATGAGGAACATGGGAGCAGGAAACCGGTATGTACATGACATGATGGGCTTGCATTTAGAGCAGTTGAACTTGAGATGTGGAGGGAAAACCCAGGTGGGGTTTTGTAGCAAACAATTAGTCATTTTAGCCTGTAGCTTAGGAAAAAGAGCGCAATAGATGTTTGAATTTGGAACTCACTAAATTATAACTAATAGCCCTCATGCGAAAGCTATGATGCGAAAAAGCAGGCAAGTTACATTTGGAGCCTTGAGGAGCAATGTTGTTTAAGGGGCAGATGCATGAAGAAAAGTCAAACAAAGAGAAAGAGAAAGGATGGCGAGAAGTAGGGAGAGAACCAGGAAAATGTGTCATGGAAACCCAGGGGATCAGGGGACATTCACAAGAAATGAAGGCTTCTCAAAGGTGACCAGAATCCAGTTTGCATTGCTCTAAGATGATCTAGAAGGCAGGAGGAAGGAGCAGGCAGCGGGAGCAAGCTGGCCTCTTCGCTGAGTACGTGCCTAGCATTTATTATGTGCTGGACACAGTACTTAGGCATTAGCTTTGTTGGAGTAAATAAAGCAGGGTTTTTCACTTTATGAAGTTTCACCATTTTTGTCATTTTCTCCGATCAAATCTATGTAGGCCTTTAAGGGCCAAAGTGTATCTCACCTTTGCCAAAACCACTCCCCTATGCGTCCTGGCCACAATGACACGTTTCCCCCCCTAGAAATTACCTGTAATATTTGGCTGGTATTTATCTTATTTAGCATTTTAATTATCATTGCATTTGCTCATGTCACCTTACCACAAAATTTGCACACTCTTTGAGGAGGAGGAACTTTTAGTCTAGATTTTCCCTTCATGATTCCTGCCCCTGCTTTGTAGGTATTAAGTGCTTAGGAACACTTGGTGGTGGTCTCCTCTCATTTTCCATTTCCCAGTATAGTTACGGCCGTCCGTTGGGCAGAGCGAGGGCAGCTAGACAGCTAGATTTGTTACCTTGAGCAAGGACTGCTATGTTTTTTAACAAAGATCCCTCAGGATTCCTCAGCCGAATTGGGGTAGATGGGCTTTAGATTTGATCTCTAAGGTCATTTTCCTTCATGAGTTCAACTAGTATTTACTGAATACCTGATACAGCTTATATGGTACTGCGCTATAGCAATGAGCTAGATAGATCTGACCCCTACTTTCATGTTACAAATATTTAGTATTTTGTATTAAAAATAAATAAGTTATTTGAGATGGCGACATATGTGATAATGACACTACGACCAAGTAAAGTGGTGGAGATTAACCAGGGAGTGAAAGAAGGCAGTTAATTAGAGTGGTTATAGACCAGCTTTCTGAGGAGGTGACTTTTTGGTGAGCTTGAGGACAAAGAGCGAGCCATGAGAAAAGGAAAAAGTGTTTTAGGCAGAAATGAAAGCGATGACAGAAAGCCTGAGATGTTTGTAAGTTCCAGGAACAGAAGGAACATTATTTATTCAGAATATAAGGAAAGAAATAAAATAGTAGAAGATGAGGTGTCATTTCTGAACCCAGAGCTGACTGCAATATTTTAGTATTTTAGATAGTCAACTTCCAGGGTTAATAGAGGGGGAAAAAATGTTATTTTTATATTTGGGGAATTCCCCAGGGGAGGAATAAAAAGAACTAAAATTGTTCCAACCCCTTGCGTTGCTATTGTTGTGATTTATAACAATATGACTTCAACGGGAGCCTAATCTGTACTTTGTACATAGTGGTTATTGTTCTTATTGTTTGCTTGTCAGTTTCCTCCTTGTTTACAGTAACAATTATGGGGATACAACAGTTGCAAAAGCAACCACAATAGAAAGATAAGAATATAAAAACAAACATCTATACGTTTCAACATTTGTGCATGAGGATGGTATGCAGAATTCTGCCCATTCACATGGTACTATATTTATTTAAGTAGATCAGAGGTTACAAAATGAACCCTGGTTACTTCTACACAGAAGCGGTTCTTAGTCTGTTACTGGTCGTAGATCCCTTTGAGGAGCTAATAAAAGTTAGAAACATTTTCTCAGAAAATGCAAATAGTTACATTTACAAAAATGTGAATAAAAATTTAAAGGCTATAGGTCGCTTTCACACCCAGCCACGTAGTCCAGAACATGTAATCAAAGGTTTTCAAAATATATTGTGTATCAGAATCATCAGAACTACCTGAAAGCTTGTTAAAAAGCATATCCTTAGCTTTGTCCTAGGACGGTGCAAGATGGAATGAAGGAGCTTGTATTTTGTGTAAGTTCTCCAGGGAATTCTGAAGCAGGCAAATAATAGAGCACGCTTTCCCAAATTCTGCTTAGGGGACTCTGAAGGAGAAAATTGGAGAGCAGAGGCTCAGAGAGGTAGAGGTTGAAAGTACCTAGAAATTCAGAATGAATTGGATCCCGGAGAGCCGAAGTCAGGGAGATTAACACGGGGAGAATGAACAGGGTGAGGCAGGAGTAAAAATCAGAGCTATGGAGCCTGGAGCAAGACGTGTGAGCCGTTGGGCCCCGTGGCGTGGAAGCAGATAGAGAACATTGGAAAGATGTGTAATCTGCCACCAGGGCAGTTCCTCACGATCAAAACACTCCTGTAGATTGTCTCTGAGGACAGGCTAGCAACTGTCTCTAACCCGTTTGAGTTACTCGGATTAAAGGTAGGCCTCATCACAGCTGTAGTTATTGAACACACCATTACCCACCACCTTCACCAAAGAATTACAGTGTCTGCACTGGTTGGGTCCCTATTCCTTTATCTTTAAAGACCAGCAAACTGAGGTGCACAGAGTGAGGGTCACCCAGTGAAAGTAGCACCTGTGTGAAGACCAGCACCTGGCTTTCTGCATCCTGGTCTGGTGCTCTTCCTCCTCCTTCCTGGGCCCTGAGATAAAATATTTTATGGAACCATTTGATGGGAATATGCACACCCCCAAAGAGTTCAGGGAAATAAGACCTGGGGCAGCACTTTTCATTTAAAATTGCACATTGGCATGCACGACAGTTTTGATTCTCATTCATTTTGTTGCACTGCGATCACGACCAGCAGTGGACCGCACAGAAGCCAGGCTTGTCTCGGTACTCACCCGTGCCTCAGCATGGAGCCCAGGAAGAGTGCCACTGCATCCTCGATGATCTCTTTGCCCAGGGTGTTGAGAAATGTGGGGAAATCCTGCTTTGGAGGCTTGTCTGAGTCATCTGACTCCTTGTCTGGCTTGTGTGTTCCTTCTTCTGAAAAACACAACAGAATCTCAGAAGTGATTCTCAGCAACAAGATCAGAATGTCTCCTTTGTAGGAAGCCCCTAGCGCCCATTGTACCCCTACTAAGTAACTTCAGAGCCTTGTATACTTGTGTTTATTCAATATTTAATGCCTGCCCAGTGAACGTTTTTACTTGCATGTATCACTCATTCCTGAAAACAATCAAACAGACCAACAGACATTGGTTCTCTGGTAGGTGAAGTCTAAAGCGCTCATGGAGGCTAAGTGACTTGGCCAGAGTTAAGCAGCCTGTTTATGCCCATGCCAGGACTGAAATACAGAATGCCTGTTTCATTTCAATTGCGTGGTCTCTTTCTCCATGTAATCCCTGGGCCCATGGTAATGATAATAAGGAAGATGAAATAATAATGAATAGCATTCGTTAACCACATGCATACCTTAGTTTCTTCACTAAACTAAGAAACTGAAAAGATTAGGTGACTTGCAGAAGACTCACAAATAGCAAGAGAAGATGAAACTGTAACTGGAGACCTCTCACTCTTGAGTCTTAATCAAGTGCCCTCAGAAGGAGGCTAAGGATCGAGAGAGTGAGGCTGGAGGTTGCTGTCTTGCAAGTTCCCTTGGGCTGGCTTTACTAAGTAGTCTGAATGGTTCAGGAGGTTAGAAGGAATGAAAGCGGGGCGATTAGCAGCTCCTTGTGGCCTACCCACTGGACCCTGGTGCTTGGATGGAGTAGGATCCTTGTCTTTTTATTTCATTATAGCCTCACAAGTATTGCTGCCAGATTTGGTAAATAAATAGATGGGATGCCCAGTTAAAGCTGAATTTCAGGTAAGCAATTGTTTTTAGCATAAGAATGACCCATGCAGTATTCAGGACATACTTAAACAATTATTCATAGGTTATCCAAAACTCAAATTTAACTGGGTGTCCTGTCTTCCATCTGTAATCCCACCACAAGTTTTGACTCAAGAAGTCCCCACTTCTAGACAATGTACCCAGAGCTCTGAATGAAAAAGATTTAACCAGCTTTTTGTGTGGAGGCTATCGCATTATGTTAGAAGTCTTACATCTATATCATACCCTGAAAGAGAAACTCTTAGTAAAAACATATGGCTTTTAGTACTACAAACATTTATTGCTTATTATGCCACAACAAAAGATTTGATAGGAGCACCAGTCTGGGACATATAACCAAAATTAATATGCTAATCACCAAGTATTTATCCATTTAGTTGTTGGGTTTTTTTTTCATTCAACAAGGATTTATTTCTTGAGCCTACTATTATGTAAATAACATATGCTAAGAGTTAAGGGAGAAGTGACCATATGTGGAAATGAGCCTCATGTGAAGTGCAGGGCAACCACAGTGGCCAGAATAGCTTTGTTTTTTTCATGGGAAGGGGAAGCAAAGAGAAAGTGTGTTTGTGATACTGGGCCTATTGGTCAGACACTGGGGCAGTGCCTCTGTAGCATGCCTCGACCCTTAGACAATTCAGCGATGATGCTGCAGTTCTACAGTTTGACCCAGAGAAATTACACGACTCACTTAAAATCACACATCTAGAAAGTAGCTGAGCCAGGTTTTACCTAATTTTTTTAATTCCACAGACCTTGTTATTTATATGGTATAATAATGCTTTCAAGCTATTATCCCCAGAAGACATTTACCAGGTGCAAAACAGAGGTTCCTTGCATGAAAAGTGAATTTTTTTCTGTGTTCCTATCTGCCTACTTGAATACCAGGCTTTTTAAAAAATATAACACTAAATGGTAGCTTTTCAATATGCAAAGGAGCCCTGGATTGGAGTGTGTGAAGATCAGATCCTTGTCCGCAGTCCTTGGACCATGTCTATATTGAGTATTATTAGGGTCTGGTGAATCATATGATTTGGAGTCGAACATATCTGAGTTTGACTCATGTGTTCAAAAAATTAGCCATGTAACCACACACACAATACTTGATCTCAGTCACAGTTCCTCATCTTGTTATCAGGATCAAAAGGTGTTTCATATATTGTTCATATATGTCACATATGTGTATATGTACGTGTGTCATATCTTATATATACTGCTTATCACAATACCAGGCCCAAAGGAAGCCCACAATAAATGATCGCTGTGTTATTACTACTGTTATTAAAAATAATAACAAAATGATTTATGGTAGCTTTTTCCTCTAGGGCTTTTGGTGATTATGAAAATTAAAAAATGCTGTTAAAATACTAAGAAATTTGAAAATGTTGAAAAACAAAACAAAAAAATAATAAAATTAAGAAATTGATTTACTAGAAACAGGTGATCAAAGCCAATAATTGAATATTTTCTCTTTTCAAATATGGGTTAGCGTTTATTTACATTAACTACCTGGTTGAGTTTCTTAATGTAATCATGAAGTTCTACAAAAACACAACAATGCTGATATTGGCACAGTTTATAATTTACAAGTGATTACAAACACATGTTGATTTGATCTGATGAAATTTACAGTCATCCCATTTTACAGATGAAGAAACTGAGGTTCAAAGCAGTGAACTGACTTAACCAGAGTTCATGAGACACAGAGCTGGGGCTGGCCTTCAGCAGGTCAGTCTCACCTCTCACTTTGCCAGGGCGATTCCTTTAGGAGCGGACAGACACGGTGGTCTCCGAGGCCACCTCTGCGGTAGTTCTGCGGCAGTGTCTGCCTGTGTGCTGTGCTGTGCTGTGCTGTGCTGTGCTGTGCTGTGCAAGGTGGGAAGCTGAGGGTGAGCGCTGCCAAGTTATGTTTAGAACAGTTTCCCAGGTGATATTTGCACTGTTTTCTGGCCTGTCATTCTGAATAGAGACAAGTCAAGCGCTCACTGTCTTCTACAGACCAAAAAGAAATTCATAATTAAGAATTCTGCCTGGTCCTCTGTGGTCCTCTGTGGTCCTCTGTGTGTTTGAAACAGACACGAAATAGATGCTCAGTTACAATGGAAAGAACCAAGGGACTTAGGTTTTGGTCTCGGGTGTGCCACTGCTCCCAGTGTCTCTGCTCAAGTAACTTCCCCTTTGCAAGTTGGTTTATTAACCTGCGAACCGGTAAATAATAAAACTGTGTGTGTGTGTCCATAAGAGGATTATTAGGAGACTTAAATGAGATGATACATGGTAACAATAACAGTTAATATATATTGGTGCTTGTTATGGACCAAATACTTTTCTAATTTTTTTGTCTCTTTTATTTAATTCCATGATAAATTGATGAGAAAGTTAACCATTGATACTTGATGTTACATGGGAGGCCCGGAGAAGTTCAATAAAGTGCCTGAAGTCACACTTCTGATTAGTTGTGAGGTCAGGCCTACAAGTCTTATTCCAGAGTATATATTCTTCACTTTTGAACATGATCAGTTATAATTCTCAAAAAATAAACACTCTTGGCTCTCTAATTGATAACATAATAGTGTCACTATATCACCTGAATGTATAAGAAAAATCATTGCATACTTCATACATTCACTGAGGATGGAAGATGTAACGGAAACACATTGAGTAGAAATCTACAGTTCTTTTTGTTGGAAGATCTGCCTCTGGACTCCTAGGACCCAGTGCCCAAAGGTCCCTCCCCGTCTCTGCCCTTTATGTTCTGGATCAGTGCTGTCAGTCAGCTTCCCCTGATCAGGGCTAACTGCTGCACACTGCAAGAGCTGCAACCGGAAGCACTTACCAGCATGACAAGTCAGGATTAAGGCAAGCAGTCCCAGGAAAACTGTCACCCGAAGCACTGAGACAGCCATGTTTGCAGCAGTGGTTATTGGTAGAGAGAAAGCGTCCCAATGCACCTGTAACCTTGCTCCATTTATAGGGCATTTACAGGTGACATCACCTGCTACGGAATTTACATTGTTGCACAAGATTTCTACACTGCTTGCTCTTGGATCTAATGAGTCCTGCCCTGTCTTTCAAACCTACAGTTTTTCATATAGGGAAAGAAAAGTCTACTTGGTTTTTCTAATGTTTAGGCATAAAATGGCACTGCAGTAACTCTTTCGGAGGTAGTTCCCATGCCAGCATTGACAATTAGATGGGTATCAGGCAGAATTACCATGCAGTGCCAACAAGTAGTAAATCAGATTGGCAGGTGTGCCTACTCCCTCCCATCCCCTGCTCTGAGCTAATTACTTGTCCTCCCATAAACATATCCATTCCCACCCTCATGCCACCCCCATGGCTTTGTTCACGCTCTTTATTTTTCCTGGGATATCTTCCTCATTATCTCCCCTTCAAGCATTCCTCAGGCTCAGGTTCAAAAACCCCCTTCTCTGCGAACCTTTATGATGACTCTTCCACCCTCCTCCACAGAGTTAGTTGCTCCCTCAACTGCCACGTAGAACACTTGGACTATTGTTTGGGAAATAAGACCTTTAATAGCTCTCTCCTCTTCTAGCCTCTGCATCTCTTCAGTTCCAAATGTTTTATTCACTCCGCAACCCTCAAGGAGCCTCAGATTGTGCTGGGCACTGGCCTCAGCTTTGACTTCCTTGGGAAGCTTGTTATGGTTTTTCCAAAAAAGAACTAGGAGTTTCTCTCCTGTCTCTAATAGGTGCCTGGTTATGTGTCTCTACCAATAGGCTGAAGAGTCCTCGAGGGCAAGATTATCTTTTTCAGAGTTGAATGCACACTACTCAAGGAATATATATAGCAAACATTAAAAGTAATAATAATAAAATGATTGCACACAATGAAAAGAAATATTGGGTTTAAAATGCTGCTCTGTATTTCAGATGTAAAATACCCTCCCTTTTGGATATAAACATTCAAGGGGATAAAATTTGTTTCAAGTCTAGATGATACTGGTTATCCTGAGAAATGCTGTAAGTTCAGTTCATGGAGATGAGGACTTGGGGCTTCCTGAACTTACAGTTTGACCAAAACTTATACGTTGTGACTGTCAGAGGGCCCTTCTAATAAACGGTGAATTAACTGAGGTCTGGAAAAAGGACGCTTGTCTAGTGTCACAGAGCCACGGCTAGGACATGGCCCTCTTTCTCCTGGCTTTGTACTCTTTACAAGGCACCAAACTGCACTTAAAGGCTATCAAGCAGCTCCGCTTGGACCCTTCCAGGTTTCTGCATTTTATCTTCTCAAGAAGGCGCTGATCCTATCTTTCCTAAAGAGTTGTAATCTAGAGGTAGTGGTCCACTACAGGAAGCTTTCAGCGAGTTAGCATGATGCCATCAAGATCACTGCTTAGACCTGAGCACCAGGCCTGCCTAAGGGGCTGGTGGGGAACATGTATAAAGGACCCATGGACAAAACCAAAGCGCGGTAGGACTGGTGGTGGGAGGTGAGGGTGGGTGGGGGTAGGTGGGGCAGGGGGAAGTGGTGGTGGGAAAATGGAGACAACTGTACTTAAACAACAATAAAAATTTAAAAAAATTAAAAATTAAAAAAATAACAGTTAAAAAATACATAGAAATAACATTCATGTGTCCTCTATTAACCATGGACGCTGACTTGGGGCTTTACTTACCTAGGAATGGGTAGCAATACCATTTGCGTTGTACAAGCTTTGAGCCCTCAGGGTTTAACCAGCCGAGAGGGGGCATATTTTCTCTTTCACTGTAAGAACACTGCACAGGCAGGCGGAAGCTCTGGATATTGCAACCTAAGAGAGAGGTCTGGTGGCTTCTCAAAGACACCAGCTAAGAGGGACACGCAGACAGGTCCTGAAGCAGGAGCTTTAGGCCGTCGGGGGCCAGGGAAATAGCGCCAGCCTGAGGGTAGGGAAAACTGGCTTCTATTCCTGTCAGCACCACACGACTCCCTGCATGACCTGGTTAAACACCGGCTGGGCAGGATTCAGTTTTCTCTGCCGCATTTTCTTCTCGTCCTTTGGTTTATTATTTTTAGCTTTCCATTTCAGCTAAAATGTCTCTCTTTTGGTGAAAACTTCTGTAACCCACTAATCCAGCCCAGATCCCCCTATTATAATCTTTTATATTCTCTATATTCTTCCTTACTGGCATTTAAATATTATTTTTTTGTTTGATTATTTAATGTCTCTCTTCCGAAGAGATGACAGGTTCCAGGATGGAAGGATTCTGGTCTATGTTATTCATGGAGGCAGCTCTTGCTTTTAGGATAGCACCTTACACATGCAAAATAACTTCATGAAGAAAAGCTTGGACTCTTGTAATCTTACAGTTCCCACAGTTATTACCTGTGTGACAGTGGCAAATGACTGATACCACTCTTAAGTCTCAGTTTCCTCATCTATAAAATTGGGACATAGTATAATTTCCTGCCTACTTATCTGCACTATTAATAGAAGTTAAGAAGCTGTGACTTATCTTCCATTGGCACAAGCAAATGAATTTGACTTAAAATAGAGGAAAAAGTAGCTTAAGAAAGATGATTTTACTCAAGCTGGGGAAAAGACTATGAGGACCTTCTTCCAGAATGCTATTCTTGTTTAGTGAGAAGACAGGAGAATAAAAGGCATATGGAATGCTTTAATTCCTGTGGACATTTCCATGCGTAACTGAAATTCATCAAAATGTAGGAAAGAACTACATTTTGGGGGTGGAAATAGCATAGAGAGGTTTTGATGTGCGTGACATGGTTAAAATCTTGGGCATTGGGATCAGACAGAACTGGCTTTGAGTTTCAGATTTGCCACTTACAAGTTGTGTGACCTTGTGACCTTAGAAATATTTTCTAATTTCTTTATGCCTTGGATCCAATGTCTACAGAGTAGGAACATGCTGTCTCTGAGAGGTGTTATGAAGATTGGTTCACAAAATACATGCAAAGAGTTAGGACATTACCTTGTATATATTAAGTGAAAAATAAATGGCAGACTTATTCTGTTCCGTCCTGTCCTATTCTATCCCATCTGTTTACCTTGGGTTGCCCCAAAGGAGGGAGTGACAGCCATGCAAGCAGGATTAGGGCCAATAATAATAATAATTAATAATAATAATAATAGGCCAATAATAGGTACCTGGCTAGGTACCAACTAGATGCAACATATCAATAAAGCTGTTGGGAGGCGGCCATAATTATCCTAATTTTATATAAGGAAATTTAAGCTTGGAGAGGTTAAGTAATTTTTCTCAGGTTACAAATCATGAGTGAGCTAGAGCAGGGAATTGAACTTAAGGACATGTGACTTTAAAGTGTGTGCTCTTAACTACTATATTATGTCATGCGGGCATGAGCTCAGTACAGCTCCTGGCAAAAAGCCTGAGTCACGCAAAGAACCTTACAGTCAGGCCAGTTTGTCCACGGATTAGTCCGTGTCTCCTCTGCCTTTCCCATTAGCCTCTGAATTTCCCATTGACCCTTAGTGAATGTCCAACCCACATCATGCACCACTGTTTTAGCTCAGTTTGATGTATCAGATGTGCGGGGTACAGAGGCCTTCTTAATCCTTGGCAGAAAGTGAACTGGAGATAAGGCTGCAGAATAAATACACGATGCTCAATTAAATTTGAATTTCAGATACACTGTGAGTAATTATTTTAGTAAAAGTATGTCCCAAATATTTCATAGGACATGCTTATAGTAAAAAAAAAAATGTTTCTTGTTTAGCTGAAATTGAAATTTAACTGGGTAGCTTCTACTTTTAACTTGCTGAATTGGGAGTGTTTTCTTACATTAAACCTCAGATAAGCAGTGAAGGGTGAGATTTAGAAGGTCATTTCTATCTTTCTACAACATAAGTATGTCTCTTTCCTCTGTCAATTACTTCCCTTCTCTAATAATCTCCATGGCTTCTTATTGCATGTGGATAAAACGAGGCATATTTGATTCTCAGTCAACCATTCCAGCTTTCTCTTTGCCACAGTGTAGCCTCCTGCCTTAGGGTGCAGGGTCTGCAGTCAGATCGCAGGAAGGCATTTCTGACTTTATCAGGGCTGGTGTTTCCCCAGCAGGTGCTGGGATGCTGGCACTGGTGGCTTCTCTCCAGGCTGCTATGAAGGGTCAGGATCTGCCCTCTCTTCTATCATCCCGTTAGTTTTGCCTGGGGTATCCAGCCCTCACCAACCCACCCTTCAAATACGACATCCTTCAGAAAAACCCCGCGACCACATCCCTGACCCAACCCATGGCAAAACCAATCACTTCTGCTGTATGCTCTCTCTGCAGCACCTCTATTATAATATGCAATACATTGAATCATAAGTTCTTGTTTTGTATTCGACATCTTCATTCAGCTACAGGCTCCTAAGTCATCAGCCATGCTTTGTTTATCCTCGAATACACTTTACCCACAACTAGGACTGCGCTGAGGTAAATGCAGTGGGTATTCCATGGATGCTCACTGACTTGTGAGTGGACAGCTGAGGCCAGTGGCTGGAGGTGATTCCAGAGCTCCACTGGAGTGAGAGGCAAAGCTGAGGCCAATAGATCGGTCACAAACACTAAAGGCAGTTAAGAATCCAGTGGCTTCTGTTTTTCTAGCAGCTGGAGCTATGGCTGAGGGTGTGGAGGGAACACTCCAGAAGAGGTACTTGGTCATGCCCCACTTAGGTCCATGCCTCAGAATGAAGGGAACTAAAAAGACAATGAAGCTCTAATTAATCACATAGAAATAGTGACTTTCCCCTGAATTATGAAGAACCCTAGCACTAAACTCAGGAGTGTAGATAGTTCTATGCCGGTCATATGTAAGTGGCTTGTGTCAGATAAGGGTACAATAATACTTCAATCACAAAGTTTTTCTAGTATCATGTGATATCGTGGATACCAGAATTGATTTGAAAACTATAAATTGTCAAACTATACTTTG